TTTCTTTCTTTCTTTCTTTCTTTCTTTCTTTCTTTCTTCTTTCTTTTTGAGGCAGAATCTCATGAAGCCTAAGGTGGTCTCAAACTCTCTATGTAATTGAGGAGAACCTTGAACTTCTGACCCTACTGTCTTGACTTCCAATGCTGAGATTATAGGCATGTACCACCATGCTGGGCTTATGCAGTGCTGGGGATCAAACTCAGCATGCTTTGTGAATGCTAGGTAGGTGCTTTATCAACTAAACCACATGCCCATCCCAGACTATGGACTTCTTCCAGACTATGTACACATATTGAGAAGAAGAACCAGAGTAGAAAAGAAACTGCTGAGTTTGCACAGCAGGTAAGAAGCAGAACTGAGACTCTGACCCAACTTGCTAATAACTGACCAGTTTGCCCCAGGGTGTCAGGAAACACAGGGTCTGGGAGGGTTGCATTATGGAAGTAGACTGGCTCAGAGTTGCTGTGGAATGTCTCCTATCAGAGGCCCTCAAATTGTGGTTCCAGGTGGTTCAAGTAGAAGTCAGAAGACAAGCTTCTGTTGCCTTGAGTTCAGGCATAACAAATGGAATGAAGGTGATGCAGGAAAACAAACACTGTGTGCGACAGGCTCTAGTTGGAGACAGAGAGGAGTGACTCGGGGAGCTGGAACAGTGAAACACACTTACAGAATCAGCCTCTGGAGGATCCTGCTGGAACCTGGAGCTGCAGGAAGTCTGCTGGTAGAGAGGGTCTGGTCTACCCTTCAATCTCCAGGGACTCTGCACCTTCTAGGCCAGCAAATGCCTCTACCATAGAGGTTACGATGCTGGTTCTTTTCTGGCCATTAACTGAAAAGCTTTAGACTCCAAACTTGCTCATAGCTATTGGACTGGGGATTTGGCCTAGACTGCTAGCAACTGGATATCAGGTGAAATCTTTTCTCCCTTCTAAATCCAGCTGAGATTGGAGGTTGGTTTGTCTTAGCCTCAAAAATTTGCCCAATACTCCAGCAGAAGGCTTTAATGCTGAGTGCTCATGTTCTAGTTTCTTCAAAATGGATATACTGCTGGGTGGAGTGGCCCAGACCTGTGAGCTCAGCTGCTCTATAGGCTGAGCAGCAGGGGAGGACAAAGTCAAGACCTGCTTGGGCTACAGAATGAGTTTAAGACCAGTCTGAGAAACTTAGCAAGACCCTGCCTTAAAAAAATATAAAAGGAGCTCTTGTGATATAACTCAATGGTAGGATGCTTGCCTACCATGGAAAAGGTCCTAGGTTCAATACCCAATACTGCCAAGAAACAAAAAAAATGGGTGTAATATCATCCATAGTTCAGTGACAAGCCCATCCCTTGGATTCATTCAGCAAGGGGCCTTGGTAGTGGATCAGACTATGGCCATGTGCTCATGACTTATCTGTTTTAGTGTCAGCTCCCCCCAATCTGGTGGTTCCTTGCTTCATGGGACTCTGGTGGATAGAGAGGTGAACAGACAAGCTCTGTCATGGTTTACATGGCTAATAATTTTCCAATCTTCCACTGCTCATGAGCTTCTTTGCCTCTTCCCCATGGCTTTGAGACCAGACACTATTCTCTTGATGGAGCTAGTTGTCTCAGTAGATGGGACACTCTGTCATCTTCCATGCTAGGAAACACACCTGTCATTACTCCGCTTCCTAGATAGGTTAGATTCCTCCTCCTTTGGCACCATACAAACCAACCATATCCCTCTCTCTACTATTTCTTCTTTAAAAAAATGTGTATGTGTTGTGCAGGTGTATATGCATGTTTTTTCATGTGAGTGAGCACACACTGTGTGTGCACATGTATGTGTGAGTACATATGGAGAGCCAAAGATAGTTGTGATGTATCATCTTCAGGCACTCTTACACCTTATTCACTGAAGCAGGATCTCTCAATCACAGAGCTCCCTGATACGACTAGTCTTGCTTAGCCAGCTTGCTCTGGGGATTTCCTGTCTCTGCCCTCTGAGGCTAGAATTGCAGATAGGCTGCCAAGCCCACTTGGCGTTTACCTAGGTTTCTAGGGATTCGAACTCTGAACTTCATCCAGTCCTCATGCTTGTGCAGCAAGTCCTTTGACTCCTGAGCCATCGTCCCAGGCCCTCTCTTTTGTTCTTGTGGCCACCATGTGCCACCTTCTGACTGTGACCTCTCAGTTGCAGAAAGCTTTGCACTGACTGACATCCCTCCCTACTTCAGCCATACAGTTACCATGACCAAATGGTTGCTGCTCATCACTCACAATTGTTTCACCTGTGAAGAAATTTCTAAATCCAAGATCCCATGTGGAGCCTAATAACTTACCCATCTTTTCGCTTCCCTTGACACCCCATTCCCACCCAGGAATCTGCCTTTTCATCTTCTTTCTGCCTTCCTCTCCCTAAAAGCCCTTTCCCCAGTACAAACTGAATACCAAGATTATCATTTGAATGACTTTCATAAAAAATACTTTTACTTCTCTGCCTTACCTTAATTTTTATCTAATTATAAAAAGAAAACAACAAAACCAAGTAGAGAGAAGAATTTGAGTTTGACTTCCAATCCCAGCTAAAGTCTCTATTGAGAGATGTGATCTCTCTGGGTTGTTTTGTGCTTGTTTGGTTTTTGGAGATAGGGTCTCATATAGCCTAGGTTGGCCTTGAACTCTAGGTAGCCAAGGGTAACCTTGATCTCCCTCTCCTTCTGCTTCCATTACTCAAGTTCTGGGCATGTGTCACCACTTTGGAACTCTCTGAGCTGTGTGCGTGTGTGTGTGTGTGTGTGTGTGTGTGTGTGTGTGTGTGCACCCTGCATGCACATGCAAAATAGGAATGTGCATTGCATCAGTCATTGCTCAGTAATGATACAGAAATGACTCTGAATGTTTCAAATAGAGAAGAATTTAAAATGAGAAAGTCATTATGAAGTTGTAAGGAAGTTTGGAGACATGTGAGGGAGAACAGCATTATCCAAACATCAGGAAGTTACTACCAATCTTGTTTAGAGGAACTAAAGGGAGGAACGGTATTGTCCAAAGATGCAGAAGCTGAAGTCTACACGTTTGCACAGTGTGCCATGTTGATGCTGCTGGAGCCATCCCCATTTTTGCTAGGCAGGAACCACTGCAGATGATGCGGCTAGAGCCAACAGCAGGAAAGAGGGAGGGATTTCCCTTCCTTCTATCTTCAGGCTGAACTGGAACCAAGCTGGCCAGGGAATGCAACTGTGATTTTCAAATCCCCTGCACTGGGAGTACAGGGGAGGTTTACAGAAAAGTGGGGGTAGGAATGAGTACAACAGGCACTATCTGCCACACAACTCTGAGTTGCAAAAGATAAAACTGGAAGTCATATAAGCAAAGAGGACTTCAGTAGCTAAAAACTATGCAGGCAGATTTTGACTCAGGCGAAAGTCAATATAGTTGGTGTTCTCAGGCATCTCTGTCCTGAACAATTCTTGTGTTTTAGGCTGGCCTCATCAGGAAGGCTCATCCTTCTTAGTGGCATCGTGCCTGCCAAGCTTACACTGTGCTCGATGACTCCAGGAAGATTCCTGGATCTGATTTTCATGTTCACATTTAGTCATGTGCCCATCTCTGATTTGATCACTCTGACAGGCTAGCTCTGAATTAGGAGCCCATCATGAAGTGGGTTGTGGGACTAAGACTCCACGTAGAGTGGCAGGGTAGGTCTCTGAAGCACAACTTCCTCAGATAGGGTCACATAACCGAGTATAGGAGTTATGAATAATTTGGCAATGGTAAAAGGTTTCTGAACACACAAGGACCAAAAAGTAATTAAAAATCAGACGTGTAGGAGCTGGAGAGATGGCTCAGCGGTTAAGAACACTGATTGTTCTTGCAGAAGACCCCCAGGTTCAAATCCCAGCACCCACATGGCAGCTAACAACTGTCCATAACTCCAGTCCCAGGGGATCCGACAGCCTGTTCTGATCTCCTTGGGCATTGCATGACACGGGTGCACTTACCAACATGCAGGCAATACATGCATACACATAAAATAAAAATAATAAATAAAATTTTTTTAAAAGTTAAAAAAATCAGACATGTAATGAATGTGAGATATTTCTGGGAGCACTTACTCATGTTGCATCATGTGACCTCCCAGCATCCCTGATCTGAATGCACCACATGGCCATTTTGCACCACACAAGTCATCACACCACGCAGCACCAAAGAACATTGCCTGAAACACCTCAGCTCAGGTTTGAGACTCCTGTTATGAACTGTGGTGTTCGTGCTTTTATAGAAACATAATGGTTTAATTATGGAAAACAAAGACTTTTAATATTTCCCTACTGACATTCTTCCACGTGTCAAGCGGTACACCTTTGGATTCTGCTATGTTAGAATGAATGAGTTTTAAAATTGCCATTTGAGTTGCACACTTGGGTTTTATATAAAACAGCCATGAAATAAATTTTGGCTTGGGATTAGGATAGAATTCCCAACAATTTCTGAAACAGCACTAAATATACTTCTGTCATTATGCAAAGTAACATTCTTCTCATTGAGGATTGCAAAAGATGCTCTTTATCCTAGAGTATCAAATATTTAGGCGAAATTTAATTCATTATGCAAAAATAAACAAGCACATTCATCTCATTAGTGTGAAAATTTACTTTGTATTTTAATAAATGGTAAAATGTGTATATCAAATAATTGTTTTAAGATTTTATTATTATTTTACAATTATGTTTTAATTATGTGTCTGTGTAGGAGTGGGGGTATTTTCAAATGAGTGGTGGTGCCCCT